TCCCGGCGCAGTCGTGTGGCCAGCGGTGCGGGGCTCCTGGATGCCGGCGGAGCGCGCGGTGAAGCTGTGCGGTCTCCGCTTCCTTGCGTGACCCCCGTTGCAGGCAGTGCGAACGGGGGCCGACGGTTGCCGCGAAGAGCCGCTGCGCGTGGCGTGGGCTGCGGCACTGGGCGTTAAGCCCTGTTGCATAACCTGTAGATAATTTTCTCTCTTTCCTGATCAGCTGCTTTCCTCTGAATGCAGAAGAGGGAAGCTGCTACCCTCTCTGTGCACGCTGCGTCACAGGAAGAGTGACTGAGAGAGAGGGGTGGTGGAAAGCAAGGGACAAAGGTTAAAGGATTGAAACAATCTGGGAAGTGCCGCTGCTTCAAGGAGAACCGCATGAGTGCAGGAGGCTCTTGGCAGCTTTCTCCTGCTGGGTTTTGAGCTGCGGTGTTGAAAAAAAATAAAAATAGCAGCAGCTGCACTAGGCGAGTCCTAAGCAAGCCCGAATTCTGTTAATTCCTTCACTGAGACAGCATGGAGGATTCTGCAGAGCAGAGTCAGGAAATGAGATACCACATGCTGCAAAGGTAAGAATTGCAGATATGATTGTCTCCTCATAGCAGCAGCCGTCTTGGACTGAGGCAGCTGGACACTCTGTACTGGAAATGCATACTGATATTTTTCTGTGTTAATTTTATCCTCTGAAACCTCACCAGTGACTGTGAGGTATCTGTGCATGCAGTCTGTGAGAAAGATGCTAGCTTTTCCCCGTCCTAGCTGGGGAATCAGTGTTAAAGTTTAAGCTTCTGCACAACTTCTAACCTCTCTAAACTGAAGGACAGGTGAAAGTTCCTACGTAACAAAACACTGCAGTTGTGACCTGGTGATTAATAGGCATGACTGTTCCTAACTCAGCATTTACTCTGTTTTGTTTAGAGTTCGGTGTTCATTCTTCCTTGCTGTCCAACTTCTACCTCATCTTACCCTGCAAAAAGAAAAAAATCTCTCCTGTTTTGATTATAATGTGCAGCCTGTGGTTATTAGTAAATGAACCTAGTGTTCTTGGTATGCTTACTGTCACAAATTAAACGGTACTATACTTACTTATAAGCAAGTATTTGTGCGTTATTCTGGATGATGAACCTCTGGTTTTGTTGACATTGTATCGGTGGCAGTATCTTTTATGTGTGTAGTAATTTCAGCTTGGCAGGATAGTTCATATTCATACATGTTTACAGATTCTGACCCCAAGGTTTTTATCTTTTTCTTCTGTTTTTGTTGAGACTGCTCTCAATGAACCTGCAGCGAGTAAACCTGACTCACTTGTTGGACTGTGCTCCTTCCTTGCCGTGCCATGGATTCTGACCCTCTTTAAACACACAAATTTAGTAGAAATTGAACCTTAACTACACCTTTCCTCGTTTTCTTGCCTGTTGGCTCCTGTCCTTGAATTCTCGGACCGAGATTATCACAGAGCGGTTTGTGCACTCTTGCTGATGGGGCAAGTTTTAAGTTCAATGATGACATCTACATCTGAAAGTGCAGCTTGCTGGAAGAAGGGAAAGTACGCAGGAGAAGAACCTCTGCACACTTAACTTGTTCTTATGCCCTTCTTTGGATATCAGCCAGCAGCTCTTCTTTGAGACGAGTTACTAGACGAGACGTACTTTGGTCTGACCTAGTACAGCCATTTATATGTCCAGACTATCACTGGGAGATAGGCTTCTGGTTTTTTAGCACGCTTTTAAATCACCCTATTGATCTTGGTTTTCCTGTTACCTTTACTTCTCCCACTCTTGGCTTCATGGATTGCTTCAAAGTCTCTTTCACTGTGCTTAGAACAGGTTTTCACTTCCCAGTTAAGCTGAACATTTGCAAGACTATGACTTGAAGTTCTCCACCAGCATGGCCATTTGTCATGGCAGTGTCTCATGTGTGGGAGAGGAAGATTGATGTGTTGGCGCAGAACACTGGATCTGAATTTCAAGTGCTGTAAATATGCTTTCTTGCCATTCTGGAAATCCTCACAAAGTCAGGGTTGTGCCGCAGTAGGACGTTGCAGCCCAAGTAGATGGTGTGCACGAAGGAGGAGAGGCAGGGAAGGATCCACGCCATCCTGTGCGTGGCAGATAAACATGTCTTTATGGTCAGAGCTGGCACTGATCTTGCCTTACCTGAAAGATGGCCTTTCATTCTAGTACAGTTCTTGGTCGGTTATACCAGGATTTGGCATATACCTTTTTGAATAGGTTGCACTAGATGATATGGGTCAAGATCCTTTGTTAATGTGTACTGCAAAGCGCAGCGTAGTCTGTGTTAGTACTGTGATTGTTCATGGGAAAGACGAGTAAGAGAAGAATCTGGATTTAAACCGGGTACTAGCTGCAGTTTTTGCAGGGCTTCTTTCATCAACAAATTTTTTTAGTCAAAATACTGGTCTGTGGTGTTACTGTGCTCCTGATGAAGAGTTAAGGAGGGCCAGCATTCCAGATGGCTAAATCTACATAGGTCAGAAGGTATTTATGAGGGAACATGAGGGGGAATCTGTGTGTTTCCTTTCAGGCTGTCACCAAGCACCTCCAACAGCAGCTCATTCAAGCCAGGATGCTCCAAACCTCACATGGGGCAGTGGACCTCACAGGTACAGCTCTCGGGCTACCTGCCCTTGGTGGCTGTGTTTAAAAGGAGACCTCTAGATATTGTACGTGACTTGGCTTCTCCTTGGGTTGGTTTTCCTTTTGTGCCCTCCCCCAGCAATTCCGGTCACTTTCTGCCGCCTCCCATCCCATTTCCCAGTGGAGTTGCTCAATGGTATCAGCACTTCAGCAGCTGATTAGGCCAGAGGTTCTTGATGGGGTTCCCGTGGCCAAAGGGCAGGCAGCAGGGCCCGCGTGGCTCCTGGGGACGGATGCTACCAGTTACGGAGCTGCTCCAGTGGCACTGATCCCCTCCTTCCTACAGAAAGGTTCTGTAATCCTGCCTGGTTGCAGGGGTAAGGACTTCACTGTGTTCGTGGGAAAGGAACCTGTTAAGAAAAGCATACTAAATACAGTAAGGAAAAGTGGGTAAACTGTGGGGTGACCTGAGAGGTAAAGCTTCAGGGGCTTTGAAATAAAAAGTATCTTTCTATTGCTGCAGTCATGCTGCACTATGGTAGAGGCAAGGTGCAAAGGGTAGGTCTCTGCTTTTCTACTGAGTTTCCTCTCACAATTTCAGCTTTGTAAATCAACTCCTGTAGCGCTCGCAAAAGCAAAGGGTGATTTATCCATGTGTCGCTTCTGAGGAAGCTGAAGCATAAGAAAGGGAAGCGACTGTTCCGTTCCCGTGCAGAAAGATGGTGGCAGAGCGTGGGGGTTGATCTTGTCAGACACAAAATTGACTTTCACTGCTTGCGGTAGAAGTAATGTGATTAATTTGTCCTCTAGCTCTTGGAACTTTTGAGAAGGATACGCGAGACCGGGTGGTAGAAAATTCCTGTAAATGATAGCAGAGTCTCTCATTTACACCTGGAGACTTATTTGCTGTGGTTCCTAAATAGGATTTCTTTATGGAATCTGATCGTAGTAGCTTGTTTCACCAAAGCCAGAAAATATTGTTGTTGTTTCCCAGCTTTCCTAGATGAATTGAAAGCAATGCGGTGTGTTCTGTGTTGGGCAGCAATATACGGTGAACATATTTATATGTTAGCATAACCAGAATTTCTCCAGATAACCTGGCTTTTGCAGAGAGATGACTGAAAGGTATTTAAAAAACAAAGTCATCCCTGTAAAAGCTGAGGACCAGGCGCCACAGTGGTCTGGAGGCAAGGAGTGATTGCTTGGGGCACACGGTCAAAGGGAACTTTACAAATTACTCGCATATCCTCTGCTATTTCTGTACATCTGCACTGCCAAGTTGCTTTTTTTCTGTCTCCCACAAACTTCCTTAGGCCCAGTATGTCTGGTTTGCACCTTGTAAAGCAAGGCCGGGACAGGAAGAAAGTTGATGTGCAGCGGGATTTCACTGTGGCTTCTCCAGCAGAATTTGTTACTCGGTTTGGAGGGAATAAAGTTATTGAAAAGGTGAGTTACTGACCTTTTTGACTTCAGCATTTTGCATTTTGTTCACTTGTGCTATGACTTCTCTCCATATAAGGCTATACATTGCAGATATCAAAATATTAATATTCCTGAACTTGAAAGTTGTACTTCTGCCTGTAATCATTGTGTTTCAGTTTTATTTCATATGTGATAAATAAATGTTCCATTGTTTTAGCTTAGTGTGACAGGAAAAAAAAAAATTGGGTGAGCTGGAGCACTTCTGATACAGAAGGATTTATAGACAGATATAACAAAAGTAGACTGGAAAAAAACACTAAGAAATGTATTTAAAAAGTACATAATAATTTAATGGGTGAGGTCTCTTCCTTTCAGGTATCGAACGTTTTAGCCACTCGTTATGCCTATTCTCATGTGTCCTCTTGCTCTTTAATCCAAACAAAGCATAATACATTAAAATCTTTATGGTTGAGCAAGAGCTGATTTCTGAATTGAGTGATGGGCCGTTAAATGTTTTTGCTGAATTGAATGCTGGCTAATGAAACTGCACAGCCCTAAAACTGGATGAAGTCTCTGCAGAGAAAAAAACGTTGTCATTATCGTTTAGTGTTTGGTGCTATTTAGACTCTATCTCATCCCTGCTTCTAATACGCTCAGGTCCTGATAGCAAATAATGGCATTGCAGCAGTGAAATGCATGAGATCCATCCGACGCTGGTCCTATGAGATGTTTCGAAATGAGCGGGCAATCAGATTTGTTGTCATGGTGACTCCTGAGGATCTGAAAGCAAATGCAGGTGAGCTGTAAAGAGTGTGAAGGTGCACAACCTTCTCCTTGCATAGACCTCTGTGCCCACGAGGATGCAAGGAGTTGAGTAGATGTCTGCTGCATCATGTGCCATTCTGTCAAGTAATAGATTTTTCTGAGAGAAGATTAAGTACTTCCAGTACTGTAGATTTAGGGAGTTTTAGACCAAGTACCGTTTTATTAGATTTTGCAATCTAAATGAGACCTTCTTTCTGTTTGCAGAGTACATTAAAATGGCAGATCACTACGTCCCGGTTCCAGGAGGACCGAACAACAACAACTATGCAAATGTGGAACTCATTCTTGATATTGCTAAGCGGATTCCAGTGCAGGTGAGAAGTGTCAAAGATAGTTTTCAAAACAGGAGGTAACACTAAGCAATCTTCTCTCCTTAAATAACAAGTTGTATCTGGAGAAAAAGACAGGTCAAAGAAATTGCAATTGCAAACCTCTACTAGCACCAAAAGGCAATGCATATTACAATGCAGTGGATTTCCCAGGATGAATATCTGCAGGAGATAGAAGGTTCCCTTCACCCTTTCACTTCACTACACTTAGGTCCTCTTCAACAGCTCGCTTCGCCAGCCGCCTTCAGTTTCTCTACAAGATGCAAGGCACTAGCCCCTTAAACTAAGCATACCGTATAGTTCTGGAGGCTGGTCTGGCTTATGAATGTTATGAGGCTGTTTTCAATGAGGAAAAGAAAGACTTGAAGTATCTGCATGCTTTCTATTTCTGCTCACTTGCTTATTTTACTAAAACAGTGAATTATGTTATTTTCTTCTGCAGGCTGTATGGGCTGGCTGGGGCCATGCATCTGAGAACCCTAAACTACCAGAACTTCTCCACAAAAATGGGATTGCTTTCATGGGTGAGGATATATACTTCTGATCCAATGTCTAGTCTGAATTTTAAGATGGGTGGTTTTAGTGAGATAGGAACTCCTGAGTCTGAAAGAGAGCCATGAGGTATGGTTTACAAGTGCGAGACTGATGATACATTCTTTACAGTAGTCAGAGCGGCAGAATATGCTGTCTAACAGCGTAGTGTCTTTCCAGTTGTTGGGGCTAACGAAACTGGCTAAGGTTTGGACATATGCTGGGAAGCAGTTCTTGTGTGGGAGAAGTGGCAAGTTCTCCAACATGTCTTTGAATATTGTGAGATGCAAAATCGGAAAAGATTCCTGTTAAAGCAGATTGTTTCAAAAGCTGAATGTCCCTGTTGTCGCTTTAAAGAGGGTGTTTGTAGTTTGGTTTTATGGAGAGAGTGGAGTTCTACGTGGACAGTACGTGAAGTTTGTGGTCTAGTTAGCAGTGTAGTTAACCAAGTGCTGGAGATGTTTGTTGCAGTAAGCCTCATCTGAATGACATGGATCTGAATATTGGATAAGGTTTTGGACATGTGCTGTGTTTAAAACTAAAGATGGACTTGTGATAAAAATCATGGTCTGAACATAGCCTAGGGATAGTTGTATCATGTTCTGACTTTTTATCTGTAACGTCTTGAGCCGTAACCACGGAAATACTCTGGACCTTTGAAGAGGAGTGGGTTTAAAAGCTGTATTTTAATTCCAGTTTAAGTCTCTTACCAATAATACACTACAGTCCCATGCAAACCACATGTCAAGTACAATCAGGTAACCTGTCACCCCTTTGGGAGCTGGCCCAGCTTGAGCACATGTGAACGGAGAGTGATGCTTGCAAGCTGAGCGTGCCAGGACTTCTTTAACAGGATGGGCACTTAACGAGCTGTTGTGATGTGTCTGTGGCTGCATTGCTGTAGTTTCAATTGCTTTTTCCTCCTTCTTGGTCAAAAGTACTCCAGTCTGTTTGGTTCTAGTTTCTTGGCTGATAGAGTTAATGCTCTCTGTTTCCATTCAGAAATGTTGATTTATACCAGTTGACATGTGGCATGCAGCAACCCTGCTAAGAGTGTTTGTTTATGCCTCTAACATGGAACCCAAATCAGACTTCTGGCCATTTCCCTGATGTCTGATCTCTCTTGTGTGTGTCTCATGCATCGCTGTTGCTCTTTGCAGGTCCTCCAAGCCAAGCGATGTGGGCCTTGGGAGATAAAATTGCTTCTTCAATAGTGGCTCAGACTGCCGGCATTCCAACTCTTCCTTGGAGTGGCAGTGGTGAGAAGGAAATTGCTGTGTCTGTCAAAATCATTCTAATCTTTTTTCCTTCAACACATCTAATCTTTAAGAAGTGTCTGTGCATAAAAAGGCATTTGAAGAGATGTTCCATCTGTTTGGGGTTTCAAATTTGTATTATCCAAGGCTTAGACATAGTGACTATGATGTATATGGATATGTTGGGCAAAATTTACATGTTGTGCAACATGCTGTTAGTCTAGCAGTAAGCTGTAATATCTGTTTTTTCTGTGGTCTCTACTTTTCTAGCGTGTAGTTTTGGAGCACACAGACAATATTCTGCTTCCATGGAAGCTCTATACAGTTTCAAAAGACTGTAAATAACCTGTTTCTCAGAATGGCACAAGGTAAATGAAGGAGGATATAATTTGTTGGATGAAATGATCTGCTCCCCAGAAAACAAAAATGTCTGTTTACATTCTGCATTCTCTGTTTTGTAAATGCTTCCTGACTAGTTCCTTGTGAAAGTACCGCTGCTGTTTGTTTTGTCAATGTCTGATGTGTGAGTTCTCACTGAGCCTTGCAGCAGAACTAAGGATATAATGCTTACATTTCAGGTCTTCGAGTGGACTGGCAGGAAAATGATCTTCAGAAGCGTATCTTGAACGTTCCTCAGGAACTGTATGAAAAAGGCTATGTGAAAGACGCAGATGATGGACTGCGGGTAGGTGGCTAGTATGTTGAAGGTATTTGAGGTCTTGCTGCACGCACACCTGGAGGGAGCTGAAAGTTTAATTTGTTTTTAGTGGGAGTACAAGTTAGAACTAGACTGTGAGCCCCACAGAACTGAGTCTTGGAAATGGGAAAGTGATCTTTCCCATATTATCTTTGGGCCCAGCCTGCAGAATTTGGTGAGAATTAGGAGGAAGATAAATATGGGAACAAAGTTGTATTTCATTAAGGGCTCTCTTCTGGTTTTTGTTTAATGCAGGAAGAAGGTGTTTTTAATAAAGACCCAAGACCTCACGCTTGGTTTCATCTTTTGTTAAGTTTTCCTTTGAGGAAGATTTCTAGAATAAGAAATATTCCTTGCACAAAACAGGGTTTGGAAATTTTCCTTTATGAAGAGAGGGGGTGCAGTATACGACTTTTCCATGTTACCCAGCTTAATGATTTTCTGTATTACAAAAAAGCTTTTCTATGGGTTTGTAAATTTAGTGGCGTGAAGCACTGACAAAAGATTTTGTGATCACTTCGAGAGGCTAGGGTTCTCTGTAGTCACAGAATCGCTGCTGATTTTTCCAACTACAGGCACCCTCTTAAACTGGAATATTTGGTTTCTATCCCGTTCATGTCTTGGTTGCTAAATAGAGTCAGACATGGAAGACTGAACACAAATGAACAGGGAAATAATGATCTTTTAAACTTTATTCTGCTAACTTCTTGTACTTACCCATGTTTTTCTGCCCATCTTGATCAGGCTGCTGAGGAGGTTGGCTACCCTGTCATGATCAAGGCTTCTGAAGGAGGAGGAGGAAAAGGAATCAGGAAAGTTAACAATGCAGATGACTTCCCCAACCTATTTAGACAGGTAACTTTTCCCATGGATTTGTACTGTCTTGTTCTAAATGTTCAGGTTGGGTGATTCTGAAAGCACTGAATCGGAAATGTTAAAGAACTGAAAAAGTCTGCATTATGTATCAGAGCCTGTTTAGCTACTTTGAATTGTGAGTTCATACTTTCTTTGCTCTGCGTATTGGTCAGATTTCAGTATATCTCCAAATCCAATACAGTTGTCAAATGCCCAAACATCATAGGAGATGCTGAATAAAACCAAGTAATGGAGGGCATCTGCAGTGCAACTCAAAAATGTTGAGGGACACGAGCCTTGTTTAGTTTATGGGTTATTTAGGAAAGCTGAGAGGAATGGAAACGGCTCTGTAATTATATACGAGCTAACACAGGGTATTTTCAGCCTTAAGTAGCCCAGGGGAAATACTATGGATGTTCCTTGCTTAAAAAATGAACTTGGAATGATTGTGACTAAGGTGTTGACAAAAAAATGATCTGCCTATTTATATGCTGTCTCTGCTATAGGTTCAAACTGAAGTCCCAGGCTCCCCAATCTTTGTAATGAGACTAGCCAAACAGTCCCGCCACTTGGAGGTGCAGATCCTGGCAGATCAGTACGGCAATGCCATCTCTCTCTTTGGCCGGGATTGCTCCGTGCAGCGCAGGCACCAGAAGATTATTGAGGAAGCACCCGCTTCTATTGCGACTTCGGTGGTGTTTGAGCACATGGAACAGGTGAGGGTGGCTCTGCAAGTCCTCTTTTCCTTGTGAGACTCCAGAAACAGGCAGGACTTTTTTGCTTTTCTTTTCTTTTTTTTTTTGACATTGCCAAGAGTTTTGCATTGTTGAATCTTTTAAAGGAGCAATATAGGGTTGCATGTCTTAAGCTGCTTCGTGTGGGCATCCACTCACATTTCCAAAACAGTCCACCATGTGCTGACAAACAGCTGTAGAGCTCCCTTCAAAAATGCGTGCACCCCCAAAATAGGAGGGAAGCGTGTTTTAAGTGTATATTGTCATATTAAAAGCAAGCTGCAGGAGTTGTATGAATTGTCTAATGCTGAGTATTATAAATACTTGCTTCAAACTCTGCCTTCTGTAAATTGTAAATGAAAAAACCTGGAAATCAAAACTCCTGTGCCACGTGCTTTTCTTTGAGCAAGCTTTTGGATGTTTCAGAATGCCAGCAAAAAAGTCTGAAGTGGGTGGGGTGGATGGGTAACTGAGCATGGGGCCTGGAAATCAAATCCTCTTTTTTCCTGTATCCTAGTGTGCGGTGAAGCTTGCCAAAATGGTGGGATATGTGAGTGCGGGCACTGTGGAATACCTGTACAGCCAGGATGGCAGTTTCTACTTTCTGGAGTTGAATCCCCGCCTGCAAGTGGAGCACCCCTGCACAGAGATGGTAGCTGATGTTAATCTGCCGGCAGCGCAGCTCCAGGTGAGCCAAGTGCCCAGGCCCCGTGCTCCTGGAGGCTTTCAGAAGTACTCAAGCTGGGCATGAAAAACCTGTTCTGCTGAAGCCTTAGTAAAATACGGGGGCAGACTCTCGGGGCAGACTCTTGTCTGAGTCACGGCCAGGGTTCTGTGTTAAAACTGGATCACATTATGCAGATGACTAGATCTTGGTACTGATAGAGGAGAGAATATGAAGAAAGTATTAGAGAGCTCTACCAAGCATGGCCTAATCCTCATGTGCAGATAGGTGATGTATGACTCCCCCACGTTTTCCTCCTCAGCAAAAATACCAAATCACTCAAAGGCCCATTTTGGTACTTTCTCAGCTTGGGATTTATCTGCTGTGGCTGGAGGAAAGCTTCATTCAGTATTCCAAAATATGTGTGCGTTGCTTCTGTTATGACTGTTTCACTAAGTTACAGCTCTACCATTTGGCTCTTTCTGATTTGGAAAGCAAAGAGAAGACATTTTCTAGTTGCTTCTCCTGGACTGCTCAGGTAGACCTTCAGTTAAAAGGGGTGTAAAGGGAAGCAATAGAGGAATAAAACATAAAGGTAGGAAAACTGATTTAAGGAAAGGTTGTGTGTAAAACAAACAAAAAAGCCTGTCTCAACAAGCTTTAGCCATGAGTAGTTTGACTTCAAGCTCTGAAGTTACTTTGTGAAACGAGTTGGCTTCTGAGGCCAGCAGCACGGTCAAATGCGGCGCCGGTTCTGAGCAGTGCATTGCCCACTCTGCCTCCAGCGGATAACAGCCTCTTCCCAGAGTTTCTAATGACAAAAGGAGGGAAAAAAGAACAGACAGTGGGACTTTTCATCTTTCAGCAAGTTCAGTAGTTGTTTGAAGTTCAGGAAAATGGCTTAGGTCGTTTTAATTTTGATGAGCAGTTCCTGACTTGCAGAGCAATTGTTTCCACCTCTAAGCCCCTCGCTCATTGCAGATGCTTCCTTCTCTTGGCTGAGGTCCCTGCTCTTTAGCCTTTCTACAAAACAGGATTTATGCCTAGTAATTAGGTGCTTGAATAGATGTGGCAAAGTGACCAAGAATTTGTCGTGATTTATTGCTTTTTCAAGGGGGAGTCATGACAGCGGGTGACAGTTACGGCTTACGTGAACAAGTAGGCTTTTTGTTGTTCTGATCCCCGAAGTAATGAGGGAATCCTTCACAGATCCTGTAGAAAGGGTTTGTTGCATTTGCCGTGGCTCATCTGTCCCTTGTGCATCCCCACCGAGCTCCCTGTGTCCTCCACGCCGTCTCCCTTTTCTCAGCCCCCATCTTTTCCACCGGTTGATGAATGCCGCAGTCCGCTTTCCCTCTTTGTCTTACACCACGTTAGGGGCTCTACGTGCTTTTCTACTTCCATTTCCTCAGCCCTCCCGTTCTTGCTCTCTTTCTTTCTCATTTCTTTCTGCTGTTTGCATTTTGCAGTTTATTGGACAGATGGTAGAGAAAACAAACAGTTGAACTGTAATGTCTTGTAGCCTGCTCAGGGGCAGGATCATCTTCATTTTGCCGGGGCCTGAGCCTTCTCTTGTAGCCTGCTCAGGGGCAGGATCATCTTCATTTTGCCGGGGCCTGAGCCTTCTCTTGGCAGGTGATTGCAGCAGCTTTATGTCTGTATTTGCCAGGCACTGAGGGTTTTGTAACTGGTCAGATGCTTCCCTCATTGTTCGGGCACTGCTCTTGATATTGCTGGTGCTAGATACCATTTCATAGAATGGTGCGTTGATATTGTAACCAGCTTGGTCTTTTGTCTGTTGGTGTCTGGCTAATAGACAGCTGAAATAAATGGTTAAGCTAAAGCTCAGCCTTTTTGAACTGTAACTGTAAAAAAAAAAAAAAAAAATCCCAGCTAATGAACAGAGCAAGTGGGACTTTACTCCGTGAGGATCTAGCCAGCAGCTGGTTCTGCAGGTTACTCTCTCTGCAGTTTATAGTTGCAAAATTCCAGTTTCCTGTAACAAACTAGGGGCCTTCTGTCTCACTGGGGCCTGAGTATATTTTTAACAGGCCTAATGCGTGCCCATCCTCAGCTGACCTAGCGCTGGCCACCTTTCTCTGAAGCCTTGTAATCAGTCAATGGAAAATACCGGCTGAGGGGCTTAAGGTGGATGTTACACTGAGCTCAGCTGTCCTGAGAAATATGAATGTTCCAAGACGTGTCAGTGGAGACGGCTCACATCAGAAAACGGGCACAGTATGTTTGCTGTACTAGAACTGCAGCATCAGCATCCGCAGAGAATTGGTGGAATTAATTCTTGAAGGAGTAGGTACTCTCAGTGAGGAAAGAAACTTACTTAATGGTGGTTTCTTTTATTCTTTTATTTTTCTTTTTTATTATTATTTTTCCTTAGATTGCCATGGGGATTCCCCTCCACAGGATCAAGGATATCAGAGTGATGTATGGCGTTTCTCCATGGGGAGATGCATCTATTGATTTTGAGAATTCAGCCCATGTCCCCTGTCCACGTGGCCATGTCATCGCTGCACGTATCACCAGTGAGAATCCTGATGAGGTGAGTATTTTAAATTCTCTAGTTACTGATCACATTTTGATAAGCGTAGGCTTTACGCCTAGGTTCAATCCCTGCTGCTGATCCTGAAAATTTTGGCAGCAAATTGAAAAGATTCTTCCCTTATCTCACTTGGCTGACGGTTCTGTAGACTCTGGTTAGACACAGCCTGAACTTATGTATCATGTTGCAGCACAAAGAGGTGCTCTAGCCTTCAGAACTCTAACTGCTTCCCTAATTCTGCGTTATTTACTTTTTCTTTAGGATGTATAGCAATATCTGTCTGTCTTTACAGGGATTTAAGCCCAGTTCTGGTACAGTTCAGGAACTGAATTTCCGCAGCAATAAGAATGTCTGGGGCTATTTCAGTGTTGCTGCTGCAGGAGGGCTTCATGAATTTGCTGATTCTCAGTTTGGTCACTGCTTCTCTTGGGGAGAAAATCGTGAAGAAGCCATCTCGTAAGTAGTCAGAAAAGGGGTAGAACCTTGGAAATTGCTTAGTTTTGTCCTCTGATCCAAAATGCCATGGATAAAACAAGACTCCTTACTTCTAGGAGTTTTAAGAGAAGTTTCCCTCCCTTGTTTTCCACATCACGGTCAGGCTTCTCATCCTGTCTTGCTTTGAAGTTCCACTGTGTTGCAGCTACATTTCTACACTTTTTTGCTTGCTTCTCTTCATTTTTTTCCTTTCTGTTTCATTCCTGCCTTGTATACCTGCTGCTGGGGTATGGTATAGCTACCATTGTGTTGAAGTCCCTCTTTGAAAGCATTCAGGTGGAAGGCTTCTAACAAGAAAAACATTGATAACTTGTTACACCAATGCCTTATAATGGTTTATAAACCATTGAGTGTCCTTAGGTGGTGTGGAACGCTAAAGCATCTGGTCATAAGACAGGACTGTCTGACCTGTCATCCGTGCTGTGTTTCATCCAGAGCCTTTCCTCTACTCCATTCTGGGTGGGATGGAGACCACGTCTGTCTGTCTTATGTGTACTTCTGGCGTGTGGTAGGTGCCTAGATGATGGTAGCAGTGGGAACTCCTGATCTCGTAGCTGGCGCTGGCTGAGCTGCTCTTGTTCACACCAGCAGCAGTTTGAAGAAAATCGATATTTCATTCCCAAGCATGTCATACAGCATCTTGCTCCAGCGCACATGCTCTTCTGCTGTTACCTTCAGACTGTTTTTCCCCAACAGCTCACGGGGAACTATCTAGAGTTACCAGCTGGCACATTACTGTTAGTATGGGGTAGATAACAGGTATTCTTTTCTCTTTCAGAAACATGGTAGTGGCTTTGAAGGAGCTGTCCATCCGAGGGGATTTCCGAACCACTGTTGAGTACTTGATTAAACTGTTGGAAACAGAAAGCTTCCAGCAGAACCGCATTGACACTGGCTGGTTGGATCGGCTTATTGCTGAGAAAGTTCAGGTGCAGCTGCTTGCTTTACAGGACTACAAATTGGAGTGAGGAAGGGAAAGGGGTGGGGTGGGCAAGTGTGGTGCATGCTGGTTGCAAGAGGACAAGGATTTAGGAGTGGTTAATTTCCACTTACTACTTCATGAATAAACATTTTCACTGGCCTTAATTCTTACTTATATCAAAATCTCAGGTCATCCCTGTCAGGAAAAGGTGGTCTTAAAGTTGGCCAGAAAAGCATCTTAGTGTGTGTGTGAATTAAGGCTGGTATTTTGGTTTGCAATTTGGGACAGGTGATAGGGGAAATGTAGGTGGAGCCTCAAGATTTGATCCAGGAAGAAAAAAATGTGGTTTTCTTTTCAAGGAGTTAGGGGTAATTGCTTCTATATCGTGTTTGCATGGATGCTACACCAACTTAATTTTAAAGAGAGGCTGGCTGTGAACCAAAAATAGAGCTGAGACTGTTGACTCTTCAAGTTGGTGTCCAGAATGGACTGAAGCGAAGGGAGATGTAACTGCTATGCACCCTTTCTTTCTAGGCTGAAAGGCCTGATACCATGCTGGGAGTGGTGTGTGGAGCTCTGCATGTGGCTGATGTGAGCTTCCGAAACAGTGTCTCAAACTTCCTGCACTCTTTAGAAAGGTAAAATTGCAAGCTGGTCTGGTAGATAGCTGATAAGCAGATAGTAATTAGTTTTAATTTACAAGTTTTGTTCAAGTCCAGTCCAGAAATGACAGAGCTTGTTAACTGCTGATGGTTCTCTGGCCCCAGGAAGCTCATCTGCTGGCCTAAGAAGACTGGCAGATATCTATGTATCTCCCCAAAATATCCTCCATTGTTTGCACAGATTGGTTTGGTTTCTGGCAGTTTTGGCAGAAGCTCCAAGAAATGGCTTAGAAATGTGGAGTTCTTTCTCTGTGTGCTGCTAGGGCAACATTAGGGAGTCTTGAGTCACCGGATATTGACTTCTTCCAGATTTGACATAATTTTCCAAATTGAATGTTTCCCACTAGTACTTAGAAAACCCTCTCTGCTCCTGCTGGCTTTAAAGTAGAGCGGGCACTCTAGGGAGACCAGTCGTAACACTCTGCCAGGCTAAACCTGGTGTGATCCAGGCAGGTCTGCTCTTAACTGAGTTCTTCCCCTCAGCGTCCTGCTGGTGAGTCTGTATGTAAACAGAGCTGCGGGGGGGAAAAGCTGCTTCATGCATCTGTTAAGTCATGATACATGTTCTGTAATTCAGGCGGTGACGTTCCTTTTGCAGACTCGTCTCTAAGGCAAAAGTGGGTGACTGGAAAGGAGAATAAAGCTGGTCTGTGTGGCTGGAGAGAGATGGGCTGGCTTTGTCAAACTGATACATGTCTCTCCTAAGAAGAGACAGTTTAAAAGCCTACTCCCATCTCTGCTAGTGTTTTCCAAATTCTTGCATGCATCTTTGAACCTGCTTGGGCCCCTGATAGCCATTTGGTGGCTTCTGGAAGAGCAGTTTTGTTTTTTACTTCTCTTTCAAGGGGCCAAGTCCTGCCTGCTCATACTCTGCTAAACACTGTGGACGTGGAACTCATCTATGAAGGACGGAAATATGTGCTGAAGGTACGATGCATGGTGTGGAAACCCATCCTCTTGCCACTTTTAGTTGGAAATGTCTGTTTGTGTACTGCTCTGGCTTAATCTTTGTAATATGTGTAATTATTGGAATTAAATCTGTGCAGGGTTTATTTTCTCCGCTTTAGCGGGGTTAACAAATCAGTACAATCTTCCTTATGATAATACCTCATCGCATCTTTCCATTGCAATTATCTCTGTGCATCTCTGTAAACATTTTGACCTTTCAGGGTCAAGAAATGCTCTGCACAGGGTGAAGAATACTTTGCCGTAGGCAAAGATTACTGCCTGTTGATTGACCAAAACTTTCAATTGATGTTTCTGAATATGTAGATCTACTTTTCTACTCTGTTGCATGTTTGAGCCCAGTTTCATCAGCATGACAGAATTTGTAGCAATTTTTCCCTTTAGCGTTGTTTTTTCGTTGCTGTGTGCAAAACCCAATGTTAGAAATACTGTTTAATGGTTGCGAAAACAAGCATACAAAAGTTAGGAAATATTAGACTTAGGGTTGCCTGTGCAAACTTAATTAGCTTCCTCGGGCAAATTTATTATGGTAAAGTTTTTCATAACATGACTATATACTGGTTTTTGCAGCTGTAAGTATTCAGCACCCCTGCACTTCCATGGTTTTATCTTGGCACCCCTTTGATGAGAAACAGAGAGGCACTGAACAGCAGCTAAAGTATGCTTGAAGTGATTTACCCAGCTTCAAATAGGAACTCTGTGGCAAAGCCTGCGATAGGTTCCCTTTTTCCAGGGAGAGTGTAAGCTCCTTTCTCTGTGAGACGATCTCTCTCGTTTGTATATATGTATTTAAAAATTATCTCATTCATTATGCAATTTTGGTACACAACTGTGACTTGTACATAGATCGGGGTGAAGAGATGGTATATGATTGTGTAATCAAAGCTGTACAGTTAATGCATAAGTGTAAGAGGATTAAATGAAAATTCATGAACAGCATTAGTTCTGGCATCTCTTGACTGCTAAATGCTCGGCTTTGTGATCCCAATTTTTTTACATTGTTTTTTTTCCATCTGACATGAGAACAAATGGCTCCGTTCCCCTTCTGTAACTCCCGCTGTTGCAGCGCTGGAAAACAGTGTATGTTGTGGCAGCCAAGGCACTACGACTGCTGTGTTTATTTCATGGGATCCATACCATTCTTGTGGATCTGCAGGTGACCCGACAGTCTCCCAATTCCTACGTGGTCATCATGAACAGCTCCTGTGTGGAAGTTGACGTGCACCGACTGAGCGATGGAGGACTGCTCCTGTCTTATGATGGTAGCAGCTACACTACCTACATGAAAGAAGAAGTGGACAGGTAGCAACCTGTAAAGATTAATGTTTAACATTTACATACAAGCCAAAATTAGGTGTACTTGTAACTTTATGCTTCCCAAAGATCAGCTGGGAAGGGAATACTCTCCTAGGAAGAGTTTACTAGATGTATTATGGATGAGTTTAAAGGGAGAAGTTGCCTTCACCTGAGGAACAGGTCTTGGCTGCATTTAGGAGAAAGATCTGAATGTGTACCAATGCGGAGTCCATATTCTCCTGCTGGTTCTTTAAAAGTGCCCTTTTGGATTATAAAAACAACATGAAAATCTTTAAAATCCTTGAAACTCCACAGCTGCCTGAGGAAGAGGTACGAGATTTACTGTTTCAGTGCATTCCCTCAAAATTCCCTGCGGGGATCATAGCCATAAGGTCACTAAATCTCCAGCTTCTGGAATGTGAACCACTGCCCCCTCTGCTGGTTTCTTTTCTGTGACAAATGTAACGAATCTGGTCAGGAATACAGAGAGAGTTTGGGTAACTTTCTGGGTTGGAAAATGCTATGAAGTCTCAAGCTCTCAGTCTGCTGCGTGGCTGCACCCTGCTCTTTTCAGCTTTGCTCTGTGCACAAGAGGATTGTGCATGAGGTGGGCAGTTTGGCGAATGTATTGCGTGTTACGGATGGCAAGCGTAGTCTCCACAAACATCAGCTTTTGTTTATATGAGATCTTGAACTTCATTGGTTCTGGTTCTGACAGTGAGTGATATTTGTTGGTAGAGAAGCAGCACAAAAGTAACATACACACAACCCTGCTAAGGGCTATTCTGTCTGTTTTCTGATTCCTGGCTTCCATAGTCCTGTTTTGATGTGATTAATCTGAACTTTCATATGCAGGGCTGTACCGTTCAGCTCAGAAAAGCTGGTTGAGGTGTTTTTGTTTAGTTTTGTTTTGA